AGTCTAAGCTAGAGTCAAATGGGAGATACTTTGCTCAATAGTAAATGAAATTATGTTGGTGTATTCTCTGCAGCTTTACCAGCAAAAGTTGCCCACAGGCATTTCATAGAGTCTGAGACCAACTGTGAAAGTTTTCTGAGAGTCTTGGCAATTGTCCTTTTAAGAACCAATTGCCTCTTTGCTTTTTCTATTAGTCAAGTGGGGAGCTTTCCTTATGTTGGAGGCTGCTTTCCCGTGATCCACTGTAGAGTATTAGGATCTTAGGATGGTTCCTAGCATTAAGTTATATTTCAGAGAGGGGAGTTGGTTGTTCAGCTGTAGATCAACCATGTGGAAATGCTAATGTTTCCTTTTAAAATACTATCAAGTATATTGAAAGAAGAGAAGTGCGTTGGATGTATCCAGTGCAGCTTGTGGGCAGCTCTGTATTTGAGAGTGAATTGTAGATTGGCAACATCATTATAAAGGCCAGCTGCAAACCTCAGTGGATTTCTGTCACGACTATGATGTTGTGAGCTGTATGAGCTAGTGAAATGTAGCTTGGGACAAACTGAACTAATTAAAAATAGTGACTGGGTAACTTTTTACCGAAAGGTTGAACAAATGAAAAAAGAAGTGAGAGAACTGGGGGGCTGTGAGTTGGGTGGCTGTGGAGCATCCAGTGTTATTTAAAAGCTGATGTTTTCTTTTAACTGTAGCCATTATATAAAACTGGACAGGAAGGAGGTGTGTCTTGGCTGCCACTGTACTCCTCCCAGAGGTTTTGGTTCCGACAGGACTGGGGCTGTCTCCGCTGGTGTTGCTTTTCCCTGTGTGATCGGGAGAGATTCCCCCAGCTTCAGCAATGCCCGATATGAACCGTGCCCCCTTTTGAAATGGTGCAGCGAGGCTTGTCTGGTGCAAGAGGGTCTCTGTCACAGGGCAGGGATCTCCAGCCTCTAGATAAGACGCTTGCAGCTGCTTGTTACCCTTTTGGCTACAGCCCTTGCAGGTGGTGAGGCCTATGTGTAATCACAGTCGTGTGTTGCTTGTTCTGCAGTTTGCAAGCCAGCAAAGGTTGTCTTTATTAATGACTGCCATAATTCCAGTCTTCTGCTTTTTTTTTGGTATGCAGCCCTTTAGAATTTGAATGAATGATTCTTTCAGAGGTCATTTGGTTTATTGGTCCGCTCACTATGAAGAAAGGACCCTCTGCTTTTTCCTGGCAGCACCTCGGAAAGTGGCACTTAATCATATCTGAAGGTCTGGAACAGACGTAGTGATTTTCCAATAGAGCAGTTCCAAGACCTTGACTGTCACTTACTGATTTGTTTCCTACCTTCAATTGCCAGCAGCAGCTGGCTGAATTTGTGTGGGAAGGATTGTAGGAGAGTCTGTTTCTGCTTTCTAGAGTGAAATATTTGGTACTTGGAGTTAGAATAAAATGTCTTTTTCTTTTTGGGGGGAGGTTGCTGATGAGTCCAGTTTCCTTTCTGTGTTTTGGAAGAGCAGAGCAGCAGAAGTAGTGAGCAGGAGAGAGCACCATGTTTGATTTGTTTTCCCTCTTTCAGAACAAGTGTAAGCAAGGATACATTGTATACTGTCAGTGGAGCTTGTCAGCTCTGTGAGGACTCACCTCATTCTTCTGTGTTTTTCTGCCCATTAAGAACTGGAATGATCAGGACCACCACGCCTTTGTGCAGAGCCACCTCTTGGATATGCTGGAACTGCTGCTGGAGCGGGAGCCACTCACTGTCTCCTCCCATTCCACCCACAGTAGCTTGGTGTCCTATGAAGCTGTCTGTGCCCTCAGCTTTCTTATTGAAGGGACTGTGAACAAATCCAGGATGGTCTATCCTCTGCATGAGCTTGCCCTCTGGCAGCCCTGTCACAGGCAGAACGGCTACTCAAAGGTCTCCAAAGCCTTCTCTTTCCCCAAGATAGAGAGCTGGCTGCGGTCTTGCCTGACGACAAACCCTTTTGGAATGACTGCCTGCCTCAAGTCTGGGAAGAAACTTGCATGGGCACAGCAAGGTAGCTGGTAACTTTCCAGTCTCAGCTTCTCTTGCTGACTAGGGATCTGGCAATGGTGTGGGGTCTTGCCTCTTTTTCCTCCTACTGTTAGTGGCTATGGGGTAAATGACAGCTTAGAGGTGAGTCTGGGGGACTAGAGGGTGCTGCATGACATCTGTGTGTATTTTTCTGGTCTTTGGATCACTTTTGTGAGCAAACATTAATAATTTTATTTTCAAAGGCCCGTCTGAGTGAGGTCAGTATCACTATCCTCATTATTCAAGTACTGCTGGACACAGAGAATAGATAATGTGATGTGTTTGTAGCAAAGCTTATTACTGATCTAGGTTTCCTTGCCTTGAATTGCAGCCCCTCGCCTGCGGAGACATGGCAGTGGAGCCAAGGCAATTTCCACCTTAGGAGAAAAAAATTTAGATGAATGTTTTGTTTCCTGTGGCTGCACAATCATAAGAGTGTCAGCGCGTTAGGTAGGACAGTGAGGTTGCTTGGGGATGTAGAGGGAGCATTTCACTGTCTTAAAACATGCAGTTCCTGCTTTCAACATAAAACTTGCCCTAAGTATCTTCCTGCCAACCTAAGTCTTGTGTTCAGGAGCAGGCTTCTGGCAATGGAGGTGCCTAGGTCAGGGCTGTCTGTAGCTTGTGGGAGGCTTTGGCTGCCTCTGAATAACCTTGAAGTGGTTTTGATCTTTCAATGTGCCCTGACTTCTGGAGCTTCTGACTGCTGCCTACTGCTGACCTGCCCAGTAGGCATCAGTGGATGGTATGACTGGTGCATGAAGTGATGCTGTTTGATGGTACCACCCTTGAAGTTTTGGGCTGATTATTTTCTTGAGGGATTGCTGAGTGATGTGGACAGTGAACCATCATGTCTGTGTCCCTGTAGGAATCATGTATAGCCTTTTTGTACTTTTTTTTTTTAAATTTTAAATGCACTGGTGAACTTTATTTTGCAGTTGAAGGAACAACCAGGAGAGCAAAGATTGCCTGCAATACTCGTGTGGTGCCTGAGGTGTTCCCCATGGTGATAATGAGTCAGGTGTACAAGCAGACGCTGGCCAAGAGCTCGGACACCCTGGTGGGGGCTCATGTAAGAGTTCATCGCTGCAATGAGTCCTTCATTTATCTCCTCTCTCCTCTCCGGTGAGCTTTTGTTCTCCTGGAACACAGCTAGACGTCTTTTCAGCAAGTTTGTTGAAGCACTAAGTTCTTGTTAGATGGACTAAGCAGTGAAAAAGTCCTGGTTTTGCTCTTTCCTGCTCACTGTGTCCTTGCTCTCTTGTTCTTTTGCAGATCGGTGACCATCGAGAAGTGCCGGAATAGCACTTTTGTCCTTGGCCCTGTGCAGGCATCTGTTCACGTGCACAGCTGTGATAACGTCAAGGTCATTGTGGTTTGCCATCGTTTGTGCCTTTCTTCCACCACTGGCTGTACTTTTTACATCCTCACGCCTACCCAGCCTCTCATCCTCTCGGGGAACCAAGCAGTCAGCTTTGCCCCTTTCCACACGCATTATCCTATGCTTGAAGACCACATGGCTCAGGTGGGATTGGCCACTCTGCCAAACTACTGGGACAGCCCCATGCTGGTGTGCAAGGAGAGTGGTGACATGAGTGTCTTCCGCCTCCTGCCACCCTCGGACTTCTACACCTTTGTGATTCCTTTTGAGATGGAAGGAGACACCACGGAGACGCCGGGTGGGCTTCCCCATGCGTATCGGAAGGCGCTGAGTCAGCGAGAGCAGAAGGTGCAGATCTGGCAGAAAACTGTGAAGGAGGCAGGCCTGACCAAGTGAGTGCTGCGTCTGAACAGGAACGTGTGAGCTGTGTTGAAGCTCAGACATACAAACAGAAGATTCATTTGATGTGGTTCAACAAAAATGCTTTAATAATGGGTTAATTTGCATGAGCCGTGTCTTGCATGCCATTTCTAGAGCACTAGTAATGAGCAATCTTGGGATCCTGGTCTTTGCTATTAATATACTGGGAAGAATAACGCTCACAATTGTAACTCTGAAGGAGGCGCTTTGTCATGATTGCATTTTCCTACCTTGTGAGACTCGAGGAAAAGCATGCCTAGATACTGTTGAGGGCTGAGGTGAGGGATCCACCCTGGCAGTAAGAGTTTACAACTTATCTCACACTGGGTACTGTCTCTCTGCTGTCTCTCTTCTGTTTCCAGTGTCGTGTGCTGCCGTGGGCATGTATCCTGAACAACAGGTCAGCTAATTATTGGCTTGCAGCTGATTGGTGGCTACTTTTAGCCCAACCTTTACATTGAGATTGAAGCTTTAAAATACTGTCCCATCTGTTGCTGCGGTGAGCTAAGAATGTGCATGTGGACCATTACAGTAGATCACCTCGTGGACAGTAGCTTTTAAAGTCCTCTTTATCAGATCACATCAAATCCTCTGCCCAGCTTTTACTGTGCTAGCTAGGCTTGTCCTAGCCCTTCTCATGTACTGATGTGCGTCTGTTTGCTTTCTCAGCACCAGTTGCAGAGTTCTGAAAAAGTTCGCCTTGCTTCATTTGTCAACGTGCTTTCTTCTGCAGCCAGCCAGGGCAAGGGTACAAGTCTCTGCCGACTTCAGTTTAGCTGCTTTTATCTTTTTGTGAACTGTTTTGATGCAGCAACCTGAAGGACCTGGCTTCCTTTGCAAGTACAGAATGGGGATAGAAACCCAGATATGCAATTGTAAAGGCTTGAGATGAGAACAACTTTTATTCCCTAAGCTGCACTTGAGCTGTATAGATTTTCTTTCTGTTCTGTGCTCAGTCGATGACTTGTAATGGGCGTGCAACTGTGTGCTGATAAGCAGTGATCTTGGAGGGGTTTATCCTGTGGGGAACACAGAATAAGAAAACCTCCTCTTGGGTCAAGCTGTCCACACTTCCCATCATACCAAGCTGAGGAGTTCTAGTCCATTTGATTGTTCATTATTTTGGAGGGGGTCCCTCTGCTTCCCTTGTTCCTTTCTGAAATCCAGGTGCCTCTGTGCCGAGTGTAGGGGAGCCTGCAGTTTGAAAGAGCTCTAAACTGGGAGGGAGAAAGGGTTCTGGGGCAGGATTTTGCTACGGCTGGAGGGTGGCTGAGCAGTAGTGGTGGTGACAGAGGTGTAAAAACCTTTAAAACTCTTAGTCCTTGAGTCTTGAAGAGCAGCAGAGAGGAAAGTTATAACTTCAGCCCTTGTGCTAGTCATCTGTTGTGTCTATCAGCCTCACCTAAGGTGCTTCTTCCCCCTCCAGCCATTGTTCTCCCTTCTCCCAGGGCTGCTGCTTCTCACCCCAGGGTTTTGTGAAGGTGTTTGGCCTGTCAAAATCTTACTGTTAAAGAAATGTGAGGTAATACAGATGATGTGCTTAGATTTAACATCCTCTACAGCAGGAGGCAAGAGCTCGGTACTAGAGGGGCTTATTTCATAAAAGGGGGGAAACTGTGCCAAGTTTAGAAGCTTGCTGAAAAGAAACTGGGCAGCTGACAGTGTAAAATGTCTGTCTCCTGCAGGCAGGGAAAGAACTAGGGAGACAGCTAGGAAGCTTAGAGCAAACAGGATATCAGACTTGTAGAAAGAAAAAAGCTGCCATGTTTGAATGGGGAGGTGAAAGAGAATGTTAGAAATAAGAAGACATCTTTCAAGAAGTTGAAGTTGTCTGAATCAGGAAAGTGGGGCAAAAAAAAAAAGAACATAAATCCTGCTAGGCTGAAAGTAAAAACCCCGTAAGACAGGACCAATAAGACAGCTTGAGGAACAACTTGCAAAAGCATAAAATCCTGTTTATTCATTTTCTGAGTGAATCAGACAGAAAGGCTTTCAGGGTCAGCAGCAGATCAAGGTATATAAAAAGCACTTGGAGAAGATAAACCCTAAGAGAAGAAAGAAGTAACTGCCTTTGTGTTCACGTTCACTGGGGAGGAATTTAGGTTAGTTTCTGTCCTAGAACCCTGCTTTCTCGGGAATGTCTCAAATGGAAGCGATAGTACAAAGAAGAGCCTTTAACTTGAAAAAAGAGTCTGGGTACCTTGAGCCTCTCTGAAACTGAGTGGCACAAAAAAGAATAAGGCCGGTTTGCTGCTTTTCCCAGTACAGGATGGCATCAGCACATCAAATTAGGAATGAGTTCAAAGCCAAAACACGTAAAATCTCCACAGGACATTGAAAAGGTTCATGTTTTATGTGGGTTCCGAAAGGAATTGCATAAGATCATAGAAAAAAAAAAAAGTGCAGCAGGAGTTACTCAATACTCATGCCACCTTTGGCTTAAGAAATTGTGGAGCTGAGCTGATCCCAGATGGCTAGGATGCTATTCTGGAGAAATACTGCCGTGAACCTGTACTGCTCTTGGACATCTGACCAGTGCCAGAGACAGGGAGCCTGAGCTAAGTGGTATACCTTGTTATTGCTGGTCTTACCAAAAACCACCCCAAAAGTTATTTATCAGTAATGGGAATTAGTTGAGGAGTGTTGTTTATATGCACATTCTTTTCCCTGATCTCCATCCTCTTCTTTCAGATGCTGTCAGAACAGAATTTTGTGTCTTCAGTGCTTAAATGCTGGTTACTATTCTTTTTTTCCCTTTTCAGACAGTTTTTAATCTGTGCTCTAAGAGTAAAACAGAGGCAGCCCTGTGGAGCAGGGTTGCTGTGCTAGTGGGATGGGGAAGCTTGCATGATGACTTCTGCTTTTGGGGTTCACTGTGGTCATATTCACTTGGTAAAAGCTTCTTCCTGGTACAGGCAGTTCACGAACCAAGCCCAGCTCTCAGCTGATTTATATGGAGGTTGTTTTGGTAGTGACGGTAAGGTTTAGAAGTATAATACTCTAAATAAATGTGACCTTTACACAGTTCCCTGCTGATCTTCTTTTGGTTTCAGGTATCAGAGGAAACAGTTCCAGATGCTGGTAGAAAACAAATTCTATGAATGGCTGGTTCAGACAGGGAACCGTCAGCAGCTGGATAGCCTTGTCCCTCCTGCAGTAAGCTCCAAGCAGGCAGCAGGATAGCATCATGTTCCTATACAGCACAAGGAAAAGAAGGGTGAGTAGAGGGCCTATTTCTCTTGATTCTTCTCTGTCTAGAAAAATTGTCCCATGTTTGTATGCACAGCCTAGGCAGAGGTGGAAGAAGTAGGAGGCTGTTCAGTGGACATTCTCCCAAGAGCCTTGCATTTGGTTTTAGTTCTTACTTTGCAGTCAAAACCTCTTTTCAATTTGAAACTGTTCCCTGTGTACTCAGCACCTCCCTTGTTCTCTGCAGGTGTTCTGTTTGATTTGTCAGGGACATCTGTGTCCATCTGTAAAGGCAGATAGGCATATTGTACATAATCTGATGTAAAAACTTACTTGAACAGCTGTTCTTTTGAAAAGGCTGTGTGTATTAATGTCTGTACTTTAACTGTCTCACTTTTTGCTTAAGAGAATCGAGTGAGACTTCAAATAATTCTTAGTTTGTAGTGTCTTTCTATTCCCAAGTAGAAGTGGTTTAGAAACCGGAGACAAGCCGTTCTCACGCTTTGCTGCCATTGCATGTTTCAAACGATTAGAAAGTTGGGTTTTTTCCTTTTCTTTAGTCTTTGAGTTGCTTTTTCTTTGCCAGTGTTGGGAGTAAAATTTGCTCCTCTATTTTGTTACAGAGTTCTGGGAACAGGCAGCAATATACTGAAAATGGTTCTCGTTAAGACTTTGCAGCCATCCTGCCTGAACACACTTGATGTGGACCTGACACCCAGCCTCAGTGTGGATTGGACTTGTCCATCTGCTTTAGGATTTCTAATCACTGCTGCTTTCCCAGGAATGTGCAGTATGGTAACTGAGACAGCGCATGTCACTAGAGGATGATGAACAAGTACACCTTGTTGCAGATCCTTTAGTAGGGAGGCTGTCATCATGGTTACTGTCAGTGGTGTGCAAGTATCCAGCAAAGGAGCCCTTCCTGGTGCAGAGCTGGGCACAGGGCCCTGGCTGTCATTTGCATCTTTGTGGTACGAGCTAGCTGCACTGTTTTTTATAAATGTGAAAAAGAAAAATGTTTGATTTTTTTTTTTTATGAATGAAATTCAATGGATTTTTTTATATGAAGATGGCACTTAAGTGACGTGATTTTATGGAATTAACTTTCTTATACATTTACACTGTTTTGACAAATGTCAATAAAACAGAGTTCTCCGATAAGCCTGGCACATGTCCTGGGGAAAGGGTTTTACCTGTACAGTGGCTATTAGAGGGACATAACATCTTTACTGCTTAATGATGTGAACCAAAAGTGCTAATTTATTAATAGCCATGGAGTTGAGGGTTTTGAAGGCTGCCCTAGCACAGCATTTTGATACAAACACTGTTTCCTACCTTTAATATTTCTTGTAAAGAGTATCAACTTGAATGAGTACCATTCTCATGTGCTAGTGGAACCTGTTTTGGAGAGATGGGCTTGTAGCTGAGCACCTAAATGAGCTGGGCAAAATAGGCAAAGACCAATTGCATGCACGACTGAACACAGCAGCTGTATGTGACTTGTGAAGGGCTATCTAACCTGAGAGTGAGAGGAAGTCAGGGGCATTTAGTACTCTGGTGTGTACAGTTGTTGTGATGCTAGAAATTTTTCTGAAGGTCTCTCTTGGCTCCTGGGGAGGCAGGTGATGCAATACAAGGTGAGTTTGTTATATTTAACTGACTTTTAAAGGAGGTATGTGCAAAGTGACTGCAGTGGAGCTTTGAGATGTCCTAGTGAACCTACTGAGTTGCCTTTTAATAGGACCTGGATTGTGGTTGGACTCTGATCTTTATAAGACAGCATTTAAATTAAAAAAAAAAAAAAAAACAACCCTAAGTGGCCTCACAGCTTTCTAGCAGTAAAAGCTGTAAGCAACAGCACTAGATAATTCAAGACATGTAAAATGGAAAGAAGACAAGATGCTGCTGAACATGTCTGTCTCAGACTGCTGTGTCTGACTGCATTTAGGAGAACTGTGGCAGTGTACGTGGGGTGGCATGCAGAGTTGCTGTTGTAAGACTGCTTGTCCTGACAGATTTGAAATAGGGTCTGTGTGTATCAGGCGCTGCTGTGCCAAATTCATTTCCCTTTGTTTCACTAAGCCTTTGGGCTGGTGCAGTGAATAGCTGCAGAGGTGTGTTTTCATAATGCACTGGCAGGGGGGATTGTGGGTATACATAAGCCAGCAACCCTCATCCTCCCTACTCAGGGGACCAGAGTGTGGCTAAAAGAAAGACTTTTGCTCAAACCTCAGACAGTGGTGTAAGAGTTTTGAGTTGAATTTGTGACACTGGCAGATTTTGTCAGAAATTTGGGCACATTCTTTACTATTTGATGTGTGAAATCACTCACTTTGGGGGTGTGTGGCCAGACATACTTCTTTTCCTCTATGTCAGGCACAATCTGGAGCAACATAGCTATAAAAATATGCAGCCACTTTGCTGCACAGATGTTTCCATTGGGAGCTTTTGAAGCAGAGCCTCTACACAGAGGCTGTTCTTTGCAAGTCTGTGGTGTCAGCTCTGAGCACATGTTGACCATTTCCTAGCTGGATCCTTTGCTGCATGGGAACATTCTCTGATAAATATTGGGTCTCTTCCTTACAAATGGGGATGGGCTTTTAGAGCTGATGAGGATGCCTTCTTGTTTAACATGCTTGAAAGGGAGAGAGCAGCCAAATTGCCTCCTGTCCTCCAGGACTTGGCAGGGGGTATGTGTTTTGAGCGCATTTGGCAGAGTTTTGGTGTTCTGACTCAGCAAATGGTAACAAAGGGAGGATGGCGAAGCCTTCCTTTATTCCATAATCCTGTTTGCTTTTCTGGAAACAGGCTATAGCCTCGGAATCACTGACTCAATTTTTGGATCCTGTTCTCATGACAAAGCGGCTGTCTGGTTTAAAACAAGCCCATTATAAAAAGGGTGTGCCTTGGATCCTGGCTGTTGTAACAGCTTCTGATGTTCCTCCAGCACTGGGGAGCTTGGCTGGAACGCAAAATGTCCATAGCTGGAACCAAGGTAAGTTTATTTGCAGCCTAGTCATGATTCTGGCTAGGAGTACAGAATTTATCAGGGATAAGTTGTGGAGAAACTTTGGTTTCTTTGTTCTGCTGACAGCTTCGCCCTCTGTCAGTCTGTCGGCAAGAGGAGGTGCTTGAAGTCCCTCCTCAAGTGGAGGGAAGCTGGAGCTGAGCCCTCCCTTGTTTTTTCCCAGATCTTGGCTGTTTTGTCTAGGTGTGGCTCTGTGAGAAGATGGAGTCAAACACAGTGACTGGTGAGGGGATATTTTAAAATACACCAGGACCTGATGCCTTGTAAACTGATGGCGGAGGCTGCTGTGCCAGCAGTGAGTGTGACAATTTACATTTGGAGAGCAGAGTCTTGTGGAAGGTTTCCCAACACCAGTGGCAGCCACCACATCCCCCCTTCCATGGTGGAGCAAAGGGTGTGCTGCAACAGAAAGACGGCTGAATGATGACCATAGCACCGAAGGCAGTAGCATTCCCCAAGAGATGCGAACTGGCTTTGTGATTTGGTGGAATCGGCAGAGATTAATTTAAACTGGAGAAAGAGGTAGATCAGAAAGCTCAACTTCAGCTAGAGTGACGTGCATCAGATGAGGATCCAGCTCTAATGCTGTGTTCTTCAGTCTTGGAAGTTAGCAGAGCTGAGCTGGTTGGTCAGGCAGACGTTGTTGCAGGCAGGTTTGGGACTGGGCAGGGATAAACAGCTAGGAAAGGAGGGTGAGAACTTTGAGCCAGTGGCCAGTTTCTCCTGTGAAATGTTAAATAACTGTTAAGAGGCTGTGGACAGACATACATCTTTCCATTGTATTAGTTTTGCTTTTGGGTTACATTCCTTTTAACCTGTGGAGACTGTAAGACCCAAGGGGGCAGAGGGCTCAGAAGCAGTGTGGTTTTGTAGGCACTGGCTGATGCTATGGAAGATCTGGATTCAGTCTCTGCTTCTCTGCACCTTCTGGCTGTGCTCTTGGCTCAAAGTGATTTGCCTATTTCTGAGCAGTCTTTAGAAACTGAACATGGTGTGCTACTTCCTTCTAACCTGGTGGCTGTCAGATTGCAGTCGTACAGTCTTTATGTACCTGTGCATAAAGAAGGTGCTAGGGAAATGTAACTGATTCATGCTCAAGTCTCCTGTCCACTTGAAGAGACTTAAAACACATACTGCCTTTATCCCTGCTGAAAGCCATGTCTCCTGTGAGCATGCTACAGCAAATTTGTTAATTATCATAGAATTATAGAATGCTTTGGGTTGGAAGGGACCTTTAGAGGTCATCTAGCCCAGCCCCCCTGCAGTGAGCAGGGACAGCTTTAACTAGATCAGGTTGCTCAGAGCCCCATCCAACCTGACCTTGAACGTTGCCAGGGATGGGGCCTCTACTACCTCTCTGGGCAACCTGTTCCAGTGCCTCACCACCCTCATTGTAAAAAATTTCTTCCTTATATCCAGTCTAAATCTATTCTTCTTTAGTTTAAATCCATTATTCCTTGTCCTGTCACAACAAGCCTTGTTAAAAAGATTCTCCCCATCTTTCCTGTAGGCCTCCTTTAAGTACTGCAAGGCTGCAATAAGGTCTCCTCGCAGCCTTCTCTTCTCCAGGCTGAACAACCCCAACTCTCTCAGCCTGTCCTCATAGGAGAGGTGCTCCAGCCCTCGGATCATTTTGGTGGCCCTCTTCTGGACCTGCTCCAACAGGTCCTTGTCCTTCTTGTGCTGAGGGCTCCAGAGCTGGACACAGTACTCCAGGTGGGGTCTCACCAGAGCAGAGTAGAGGGGCAGAATCCCCTCCCTCAACCTGCTGGCCACGCTTTGTTTGATGCAGCCCAGGGTATGGCTGGCCTTCTGGGCTGCAAGCGCACGTTGCTGGCTCATGTTCAGCTTTTTATCCACCAGTATCCCCAAGTCCTTCTCTGCACGGCTGCTCTCAATCCCTTCATTCCCCAGCCTGTATTGATATCGGGGGTTGCCCTGACCCAGGTGCAGGACCTTGCACTTGGCCTTGTTGAACCTCATGAGGTTCATGCAGGCCCACCTCTCCAGCTTGTCCAGGTCCCTTTGGATGACATCTCGTCCTCCTGGTGTGTCAACCGCACCACTCAGCTTGGTGTCGTCTGCAAGTTTGCAGACGATTATGTGCGGCTGTGGTGCAGCAAAATGTCCAAAAGGAGTTAAGTCAGTGCAAATCTGATCTTTTCTGTGTGCCATGCTCTTGCCTAGCACATTGCAGGGAGAAGAAAAGGCCGAAGGAGAATTAAACACTATTTCCCGCAACCTAGGCAAGTGGTCTGCCCTAGAAAGGAATCACTGCCTCCATGCTGCTTTCTTAGAAAGCAGTGGGCACTACTTGTTATTGGTTACAGTTATTGTTTACAAGTTTCCTTCTAACAGAGCTGCTGTTGGGAAGAAATGTGATAACTACTATGTGGTGGCCAAGGGAGTAAGAGCTTTACAGTCCCGTAAGGAAGATCTGCTATGGCAAATCTGTTATCTGCCAGGTAAGCCCCAAAAAAGCAAAGTTTGGGCAGCAAGCAGTTAACGCGTTAGTGCTGTAAGCAGAGCAACTTGATGGCTTTACTGAAGGAAGATGATTCGCATCAGAATAAGATGCGACTGAAATGAACTGATGAACCTGAGACTGAAATCTGTAATTCACCTGTCATTATCAGTCTGCTCTGTTTGTGCCTGAATCATTGGAGGAAAGCTGAGAAGCGCTC